TAAGCTTTGTCTTTCTGAAATTGGAACATCAAAGGGCAAACTACTATAGTGGACTGTTTTTTATAAAGGTAATATGTTATGTTCCAGTTTTATATCAAGTACTGTTACACTTATTACATGAAATTATATCTTTACTCTATATAAGCAAGCTAGCAACTATTTAAATATACTCCAGAAATGTAATTGATAACTTAATGGACCTAGTATTAGCATTAGCAGGAATATGTATTATTCTTCCTTACTTTTGTAATGACATTAAAGAGTAAATTAAAATTCACCTACATGGCAGAAGAATAAGAACAAAGCAGTTCTATTACTGTTTAAATGTCTCTTAAGACAACTTTACTTAACATATAATTCAAATAACCCCATTTATCCAAACCAAGTCTTTATTGAAAGACTTGTTACTAGATTCAAATCTTCCAGGCCTGGTGCATATTAATCTGTAAAAATTATTAATTTTGTCTTTTTTCAGGCAATGAAGACCATGCCAAAGTCTAGGAAGCATGTAATGATTTTTCAGTTACATAATAAAAGCTTTCAAGTCATATCTGTGTCTTTGAGACCTCAGAAGGCTAATATAAGATAACTAGAGGCCTGATGCATGAAATTCATGCAAGGGGCTTGGCTCTCGCAGCCTTGGCTGCTGCCTCCCTCTGCGGGGAAATAGATAGCAGAGTCTCCCGCTTCTGCATTGATTGCCCCACAGAGGGTGGCGGCTGCCTCGTGGCACCACGGCCCTGCCCCCAGCCCACTGGTCATTCCGGAAGGTTGGTCTGATGCCCGGTCTAATTACCATATTAGCTCTTTATTATATAAGATAAAGCTAGCCCTAGGCATGGGAAAGTAGGAAGTCACCTATGGGGTATGTTTTGAAGGGGAAAATAAAAGTCTACATGCCCACACATATCTTCTCCATTAACCTAATTTGATGTTTAAAATTTCTCATGAACGTCACTTATTTTGAATTAAAATAACCCTCCTAATAGACTCTTTTCTAAAATATAAACATTCTACCCCTGATAGTCAAAGTAAACATTCTACTTGACAATGAAATCCTATCCTATATAATAAAGAGATAATATGCTAATTAGACGGAACAGCAGAATGACCATCAAGACTGACCTTCCGGACGAAGCCGGGGCTGCGAGGGCTGAGCCCCTTGCACAAATTTTGTGCATCGGGCCTCTAGTTAATCAATAAGCATCAGGAATTCATAAGCACAGATTACCTTATAAGTGAGAGTGGTGTCCCCTAGAATTCATTCCTTGTTCCTTCCCTCTTAACACTCCAGTTCTTATGCTTGACCAGATCACCTACATCAGGATCACCTCCAGCATTTGCTAACATGCACACTGGGCATCTGCCAGGACTGCTGTATCAGAGACTCTAAGAGAAATATTGTGGAATATGCATTGAAATTTTTTAGGTGTCCTAAAAAATTACTGACCTATTTGTTGATCTATATCTTGGGGTCCTACCTCTTTCTCTTTATAAAAAATAAGATAAAATATGCATATCAAAAATTCACAATTTTACAGTGTGTACAATTCATTGGCTTATATTTACAAGGTTGTATAACTATTGCCATTACCCAGAAAAGATTTGAGGCAAGTGCTATGGAGAATTTAGTTATGTGAGACAGTCAACAAGATATAAATTAAAAAGATTAAACTAATTACTGAATATTATAGATGGTCATGTTATATATTGTGTGGTTTCATCACTTTCAATAGCAACATTCATTATCTTTCTGAAAAATTGTACTGGGAGGGGCTGAGAGTGGAAGCAGAAAATAGTATTGTTCTGAATTTACAAGATGTGTCCTCAATGCAGTATCTTTGTTTTGTATGGTGGTAATTACATAGAAAAACATATTAGAAAAGAACGATTTATCCCACATAATACATTTCTAATGGTAGTCTTTGTGGCTCTCAGGTGAAAGAACTGCTTTGGATACTTTTCTTTCTGCAACCTTAATATAAACTAGGTAGAAGACTGCTTTCTATATCATCAAAAGTGAATACGGACCTTGCTAGGCTCAGTGTCTCAAGTGCTAACCACCTTCTCTGTAGACAGGTGTAAGACATTAGCTAATGGCCTCACTAAATGGAACTGGACAACTTTCATCAATAAGAACTCTGAAAGTACAGCAAAATGCTGTTTTAAGTCACAAGCATTAAAAATGAAATTCTCACCCTGCACCATCAATGATACTAATTTATATATTTTTAATAGAGATTTAAAGAGTAAAATTCTCATATGCATATGAGAGATTAGTTGCTTCTTAGCATCTGACAGATTTATGTCTTTTTTTTTCTTTCATAGAATTTCTCTTTTTAAAAGTTGGAACAGCCTGGCCAGTGTTGGCCAGTGGTTGTGTTGACCCATGAATTAGGAGGTCACGGTTCGATTCCTGGAACAAACGGGCCTGGTCAATATAATGGTTGAGTCACAGAGTGATGCCTTTTAGCCACAAAATATTTAGGATTTTGAAAAATGCAGTTGAAATTCTAATGGTTGTTGTTTTTTTAATCCTCTCCCAAGTATATGTTTTTAGTTATTTTAGAGAGAGAAGGGAAAGAGAGAGAGAGAGAAATATCCCATTCATGCCCTGACCAGGGATCAAACATGAAGCTTAGGTATGTGCCCTGACCTAAAATTGAACCCACCACCTTTCAGTGATTGGAATGACGCTCTAACCAACTGAGCCACACCAGCCAGGGCTCTTGTTTTTTTAATGGCTAGATGAGTTGTGCTGGATAAAACTTGGTACTTAGAAGCAGAGTTGCTTTGGTGTCATGTGTTTGTTGCAGAAGACCACAGAAAAACCAAGCAACGCTTGCGCCATGTGTTTGTTGCAGAAGACCACAGAAAAACCAGGCAATGCTTTAGAGAAAAGGAGTGACACTATTTATGCCAGCAGACTCAGGGAATAACTTTCCAAAACTGAGTAAAGTAACATGCAGGGGGCTTCTCTTTTATATCTTTCTGGGGTCTTTGTCCCGCAAATATGGATTGTGCTTCCAGTCCTTTTCGTGGGCTTTGCAAGAAGGCCCCCAGGTGTTCGGCGGTCTCCAGGCCATATCTGATGGTCTGGCCTGGCGTCAGCGTTAATAACCCTCCCTCCGGGACAGTGCACTGTTCACAGTTTTATGGCCTCTGTAACAGGTTCTGTAAGACCAGTTTCTGGGAAAGAAGTAATAACTTAATTGTAAGTTATCAAGAATGTACACTGGGCTGGCTTGCATGGATTCAAATTGCTAGCTCCCCAAATATCAGGGTTACATTGGAATTAGCTTTTTAGCCTCCTCATGTTCACAAACCAAAGATTTTTCAAATCTCTGTTTCATAATTGAAAGCTACTGTCTGAGTGATGTTCTACAAAAGTGCTCACTTTGAAAAAACAAGTTACAAATATATAAGTGATATTTTAATCAATTACTTGACTAACTTAAACAAATTTTAAACCAACTTCTTTGGATATAGACAGAATTCAAATAACAAGACATGCCCCATCTCACTGGTGAATAACAGATGTACCCTTAGGTATCTTGATGAAGCCCTATAAAATTACCACCTCTCTCAACTAGCATAACATTCATTTAGAGTAGACTAAGATTGCAAATGCTACCCTCCCCCAAACTTATAAGTGTCTCAGGAGGGAGGATTTTAATAAAAGCACTTTCTCAGCCTTAGCCATTGCATCCATCTAAACACTAGAATACTTGTTATTGGCAAGTTGATAAATTTTAAATCATGAAAGATTTACATAAATGATATAAGGTTTGACATGTTTTATGGAATGTTCATTCACACTAAATCAGCCTTTACCTTTAGACTCTTTTTTCAAGACACATGCAAATCCAAAATGACAGGAATGGATTTTCAACATCTAACAATTAGCAAACAATGACAGACGCATAAAGTACATACCACACTGTTTCTGAGGGTGCACACTTCCTGACATTGTAAGCTGGAGCTGGCTGGAATGAGAATAGATACACAGATTGAAGCTGTTAATCTCACCTTTGTAATTAAAGCAGCTGGATCCCTTACTTCCAGGTTGCCCTCGAATCCCCTCCATGGGCAGTGGAAAGGAATAGCATCCTGGATATACATACTGCTCTGCTCAAATATTTATATCCCATGTCCTCCTTATTGTAGTGTATTGAACTAAGCTTTAAAGAGTTTGCATATTATGCAAAGAGCTGAATAGTTGTGCAATGAATTTGACAAGTTCTCCAGAAAAGTTGACTTTTCTCATAAGAGAGTAAAAAACAATGTTGCTATGTACTTTTTAATCATTTAATAAATATATGATTCATTGTCTGTTAATCAGTAGAATTTGTTTACTGTTTCTCCTTCTTTGTTTTCATTTCCTCCTATTAACTGCCTCTATCAATAGGATCAAGAGGAGTGAAGGACACAACTGGTGTTTAGTCATTCAATTATTTGATAATCTGGTGGAAAATATAGAAAAGTGAATAGGTAATTATAGTAAAAAACTCTAAGTGCTATGGAACAGAATTACAGTTATGGTGGTTGTGGCAGATTATATTTTCCAAAGATGGCAGCAACAATGTCCTCCATCCTACAAGCTCTTCGGCACTGTGACTTTGGAGTCTAATTCTTTTTCCTTTGATTCCGGCTACAGTGACACTGTTGTATCCAATAAATGAGACAGAAGCAATGCTGCAGAATTCCTGAGGTCAGAAGTGTGACAGCTTCTGCCTTGGACTCCTGGGTCCCTTGCTTTCTGAATACTCACTCCTAGACCTTTTTTTATTTTCTACTTTTTTTAATCCTTACCTGAGGATATTTTTCAATTGTTTTTCAGAGATAGTGGAAGGGAGTCAGAGAGAAAAAGGAACAGAAGCATTGATGTGAGAGAGACACACTGACTGGTTGCCTCCCGAACGAGCCCTGTCTAGGTAGGGAGTGAACCCGCAACCCAGTTACATGTCCTTGACTGGGAATCAAAACCAGGACCTTTTGGTCCCGTTGGCGGAGGCTGGACTTGTGGGGCTCCTAGAGCGGGCATTCCGGGTCCCAGCCACGAGATGAGGAGCCTGAGGCCTTGAGAGGTGAAATGATGAGTTACCTGAGGCGCACGGCTAATTAAGTAGCAGAGCTGGCATTAGAACTCAGGCGTCCTGCCTCCCAAATTTCTGATCAGGATTGTTATAATGAGTCTACGGAAGCAAACTCCCAGCGACTTCTTAAAGCAAATCATTGGACGACCAGTGGTGGTAAAACTAAATTCTGGAGTGGATTATCGAGGGGTCCTGGCTTGTCTGGATAGCTACAGGAATATAGCCTTGGAGCAGACGGAAGAAAATGAAAATGGACAGCTGAAGAATAAGTATGGGGATGCATTTATCCGAGGAAACAACGTGTTATACATTAGCACACAGAAGAGAAGGATGTGAAGGCATCAAGCGTACAGCACTCTTCTTGGGTAATAAGAATCCAAGAAGGTGATCTAGGGTTTTTCCACCTCACTCCTGGAGGAAAAAAATGAAGGTCCGCTGCTGGAGGGGCTAAGAAATGTCATATCCTGCCCTAGCCGGTTTGGATCAGTGGATAGAGCCTTGGCCTGTGGACCGCAGGGTCTGGGTTCAATTCTGATCAAGGGCATGTACCTAGGTTGCAGGATCCTTCCTGGCAGGGGCCTAGGTCAGGGCTCATGCAGAAGGCAACCAATCGAAGTGTCCCTGTCATATTGATGTTTCTGTCTGTCTTTCCCTCTCTCTTTCACGCTCTCTAAAAATCAGTGGAAAAATATCCTCAGGTGAGGATAAAAAAAAGAAAGAAAGAAAGAAATGTCATATCCTATGAAAGACACATCTTAAAAATGCCTAAAGAAGGTGAAGTATGGTAGCAACCATCTCAGGTGGAAATTATAGTTTAACCTTAACCCTGCTGTTTGGCTTATGTACCTATTTGCTTTGTTTAACAATGGACAGGTTATTTTGATTTT